CATACAAAGATCTTTCAGTTTGATATTTTATGAATACACTAGCACTTCACTTGTGGAAGATGCATAATTTAATCAATATTGTGTGTGTGTGTGTGCCCAGTTTGCACGCGTCTGATCTGATCCGTCATTGTATACGCGTGTCACTGTGTGCACATTTCTATATGTATGTGTGTGCAAGTGTGTGTAAATCATCAGTCATGAATACATTAGGGAACATTCGATTTTAGCACACTTTTGTTTCCTTTCTTTCCTCCTTTTTAGGATCACTAGTTTGAACCAGTGGGGTGTCAGGTATCAGACCAAGTTAGATTGAATGTTTTAAAAAATACGTCTTTGTTCAATTGTGCACTTAGAGAATTTGTGCAATGTGCATATACACATTGAACTGATGAGGATGAGATAGATGTACGTGTACGTGTTTTAATGTACAGACATGCAGCACACAAAGTGACTTAGTCATCGATGGATCTCTAAGACATTTTCGTATTATTTTAAGATGAATAGATTGAAAATGAATCCTTTCGTCATACAAATGAGAACCACGTGTTACTTTTTGTTTATACAGAACGGATAAAACTTTTAATTAATAATTCAAAAGTCAATCATATCCAAATAAAATACGTATCCCAACAGCGGGCCTGGAAGTATGTGCCATGAAAGAATAGTTAAAATCATAGCATACTATAGACGTTAACCACTTTTGAAACTGGAATTTTCAGCATAAAGAACTAGTCAATAGCGATTCCTTGAACTTCACTACCTTATTGACAAAATGTAAAGTGTGTGTGTGAATTTCTACTCTCTTGGAGATGCGCGTCTGTATCATTTAGCATAAAAGTTTAATAAAAGACAACTCATTTACTCATACCATACTTCATCGATGGGCATCAATTACCAATGAGAACAGAAGCAGTTATAATGCTTTCTGTATACATTGAAACCCATTTGGGTATGTGCTGATGAAGAGTCCCAAACTAGGACAAAACTTCCATCCAGTACTCACAGGTTTTCCTGTGATTCTCTAACTGGTGTCGGTTATTGATCAATCCTTTTTATATTTAACAATTTATTATCACTTTGGTTACAGGATTTCATCATGAACTGACATTGGCTAGAGAACCATTGGAAAACCTGGGAGTACTGGACAGCTGTTTCGTCCAACCTTGGGTCTCTTTATGAGAACGCACTCACCAGGGTTCGAACCCAGGACCTTGTGGTTACAAGGCGAACTAATGGACCACTAAGCCACTGGGACCAGACTCAGTGGTCCATGAATTCCAACTTCTGCCAGTTCATGATACAGTTGGAGGAGGGGTACAGCGGGTCGGGTGGGAGGACAGATACTCGCCGATGACATAAGCTAGTGTTTGCACTTTGACATGTATCAGTTTTATAATTGTAAAATAGTAATTTTTTGAAATATCAATCAAATTATTATGGAAACCTTGAGTCCTAGATTCAAATATTCAACCTAAGATTACCAATTTAAAGATCTTTTTTTGAAAAATTCAAAACAACTTTCTTCTCTTAACTCTTTAATATTTGTCAGAGAATTTTATGTACGCTTAATAATATCTTAGAGTCGCTGATCACAGTAATAAGTAGTGTATATCTGCAAATGACAAAAATTAAAATATGGATGTCAGGTAAAAAATGACTACTGATTAGTGAATGAAGTAGATTATTCCAAAAGTATATAGAAAAGCTACATTTCCATATCTTGAATCAAAAGTATTCTCTTCAATAAGTTTCTCATCAAGTTCTTTCAGCCGTGGAATAAAATTCCCAGTCTTAATACATTTTTAGAAACTGAAATGGTTACTGGAGAAAATTCTTCATTCGGACAGATTTTTATTCTTGGGTAGATTATTTATGGATATATCTTGCACATAAATGCTATGCACCCTTAGGTTTCTGCATTCACTGCCTACTTTCACAACATGGGGGGGGGGGGGATACTGTAACTCTTGCATAGACAAACGAAGAGTTTTCAATCTTTAGGCTGAAAGAAGAATTATAGAATACATCGTTTTCTCGACTGTGCAGTCGATTTCCACGTTACTGGAATACCCTCTTTGCTCTAATTCATATTCCTTTGAATTACAGCTTTAGTTTTTATTCTAATGAATACAACATATCCTCAGATTGTATTATTTCTAGTGACAAATAAAGAAAAAACATTTCTACCTAGTTACCTCCATGTTCTTCAAAAATATCACAGTAGATGCAAATAAGCAATGAAACGTATACACGTAAATCAAATGATTGTTGCTGATTTACTTTTCACGAAATTACAGATTTCGTGATTATTTCGTTTGATTTTATTTATAAGAGGAGTGAATTTATCCCACTCTAAAAATGCTGAAAATTATGCCATACAAAGAAACTTTAATTGGAGTGAAGTTATTATTATTATCTATTCAGAAGTTTAAGTTTCCCCTCTAAAAATAGGTTTTATGTACTCTTCTTATGCAGAGAAAAAGAATATTAAAGCACACATAGGATTTTGACTGAAATATGTCGAAAATAATGTTCAGTATTACAGAACACCACGTGTCGGTGGCACAGAGGTAGAACGGCCGCCAACCAACTAAGTGGTTCGGGTTGGAACCACGACTGACGCACTCCTTTACCTCTCTAAACTGGTAATAAGACTGGTGAAGAGGGAAGTTTGGGCATCAGGCCAGCGACCCCATCTCGTAAAAATAAGCATGACTTATGCAAACTTCAAGCCTCTAGCTTGACGCCCCATGTTCCACTGGGAACGTGAAGGAATAAAGAAAATAAAAAAATTGCAGAATACTGAAAATAATGCTATATGCTGATATAATGTCGCAGCCCTTCTACTTTTCTGTTACCCAAATATTTTAACTGGGAATTTCCCTATCCTGAAAACCCAAAGTCTGGTACCGACATTTCAATCCATTCGCATCTTGTTCCTTGTATCTCTTCCGGTATAACCAGAAAAAATTTCATAGGAATCTATATAATCTATATAAAAATTCTGCCTTACCATATTTAGCACGGTTTTTGTGTGAAGAGATAAATGTCAGAAGAGAACTTATAAATTATTAAATTCAGTAGGGTGAATTGTGCATCCTGGATTCCACTGCTAGTCACCATCCACCAGGTGACTTCAAGAACTTATAAATTTCTTAAATCGGTAATTGAACTGCAAAGTAAGGGCAAAGATTATTATTACTACATGTGTTATTTATTATATTGTTTATTTATAATTCATTATGTCCCACTCACTTTCAGTTTTGTAGTTTTATTATTATTATTTTTACGTTCTGTGTATTTATATATTTATAAAAGGAGCTAAATTGTGGCAATAATTGTATAAAAACAATGAAAATTCCACCCTGTATAATTATAATAATTTATTTCAATATTCCCATAGCGAACAATTTTGTTCGCTTAAAAGTATTGTTCTAAATAATAATAATGGTTTGTTACTATTTCCACTGACGTTTAAGATAAAATCAGAGGGTGTTTTCTGAATACTATAGGAATTAAGTTAGTAGACACTTGGTTTCGACACTTGAAAATGCTTTCAGTATTCATGATATTAATTTAGTCTGACGAATCCTGTTTTATCCTTTTTGCTAGTGGTTTGATCTAGTTAGGCATTTTTTCGGTAACAATAATAGTCAACTAGCTTCTGTTGGTAAAGTTTCCTCATCATATTTAAATGAAAAATGATTTCATCCTGTTTAATGGTGACTACTGAATCTGGAGTGTTGCTTTCTTGGAGGGTATTTATTATGAGAAAATGGACTCTTATCTCTTAACATTTCAGCATGCTAGTTACTGCGTCTTATGAGGAAGACAAGTCATGCATAACTAACATTTTAGATTTTCCAATTTATTAACACTCTGGAGGTTTTTTGTTCAGACAAAGATTTCAGCTTTCGCCAACAAACAACAAGTAATACTCATTTTAAGGATTATTTTAAATCTCTCACTCTTTTTCTATTCCTTTGCGTCCCGACAGGAACACAGAGTTACAAGATTTAGCTTTGGAATTTCATTAGCAATTTTTTTGCTCTGTGTGGTTGCTAGCTTCACGCTCAGATTTCCCTCTTTACTGAACTTACTACCTGCCAAACGATGTTTACTAGTGCTTCAGTTGGGAACCGAACCGCCAACACACTTTTATATGCTACGAGAATAATTTTTTCCAATAACGCGAAAGTTCTGGGCTCGAAACCCGGCGAGTGCGTACTTTGATGAGTCTCAGACTAGGACGAAACAAGTGTCCAGTGCTCCCTGGTTTCCAATGGTTCTACAAATGATATCAATTCGTGGTCAAACTTGAAGAAACCAATCAGTTCCTAACAAATCAACTCTAGTGGATAGCGCTTTGGAGTTTGAAACTATGGACACTGGGTTCGAGCCTCGGTGGGAAAGTCATCATTCGCTGCGGGATGCAGTCACACCCAGTTGACGAGTCCCGATTAGGGCGAAACACTCATTCCGGATTCCACTGCTAGTCACCATCCACAAATTAACTTCGAATTACATGCCCAGACATTGTCGAAGCATCTGCACAAGAAGGCGACATGTCAGCCTAAGACTGACCACTTCAGTCCAATCAATCGACGGGAAAAATCTAAAATTGAATTAAAAAGCTGAAGGTGGCCTAAAAAATTAAATGAAAGAAATATATTTACACCTTCCCCTTATTTTCATTCAGTGTGTATTTCTGTGTTCAAAATCGTAGTACAGAGTAAGTAGGTCATGATACATAAATCAGCATGAAAATTTATCTGTGTACATGTTAAAATTCAACTAGAATAAGCTAGCAACAAAAGTGGAAATCCAAAACTATTCCAATAGTGGAATTACCTCGTGCCAGCCAATAAAAGTGAAGCAAATAGAACTTGTGTCTAGTAACTGAATTCTTATTGGCTAATCTTGACTTACCTATCTGGTGGATGAATATTCATTCCCCTTATAAAGCGAAAACTGAAAAAAATGTTGATATCCACTAGCTGAAATTAAGGATTATTAAACTGCTACTAGGCTGTATATTTTACAAAAAAAAACTGGAATAATGCAAAGGAATATTAAACGGTCAACTCGTGGACCATTACGGGCAATTAATAACGCCCTATCAACTAATACAAATGTAATATCATGTAAACCAGAAAAAGCTACTGATGTGGTCACAAGTCATAAAGTAGTGGAAAATGAATCTGATCAAAGGAATCAATCACAGTAAGTCGATTTTTTTACCAAAACATTTTTTTAAAACAAATATTGACAAAACTTAGTTACCACACAGGCAAATATTATTTTTACGCGAATAGTTTAGAAATGCTTTAAAAGAAGGAATGAATTCCGAATGTTATTTACAGCTATACAGTTTCATAAATAAATTATATAAAATAATTCAACAAACAGTTTATCTTAGGCTCTTTAAATCTGAGTAAATGGATACTTCCGTAATAAATTACCAGAGAGAAGAAACTAGAGATTTTATTATAGCTTGATTTCACACAGTATTTTGGTACAAGTATGAAATTTTCAGCATGTGATATCGGTAGCCCAAAGTTAGCAGGCCGAACATAGATATCAGGTGTGCGTCGGCAAGGGATCGAACCTCGGAATATGTGCATGGTCGGCGAGAGTCCTAACTGGTGTACCACCGACGCACAAGAATTTCATCCCCGAGAGCCGAAAGGTTTATATTTGTCTGATCTTCTGGTCCTGCCCTCTCTAACTTCATGATGGAATACTTCGGATATGCCGAATTCACATAATATCAGCAAAATAAGTCAAGTCCATCTTTCACAGTCTGATGTGTCACAGTGACACCAAGTAGCGGTATGTACGGCTGATCAGACAGCAAAAAAATTATGAATAAATTTTAATCTTAGTATAAATCGCATCGTTTTGTTTTTGACAGTTGCTTATTTCTAAGGATGTACAGATTTCTATATCACTTAATAAATATTTGAACGGTCTGAGAAATTCGATACATTCTGAAATATATATAGGTGTATCATTGGCCACTTATTCGCGACAGCCTAGTAACTTAACAGAAGTATTCAAGGCTTTACGTATTAAAAATTTAGGAAATCACATGTTGCATTCACTTGTAAAAATTCCCCCCCCCCTACGTCAACTATGAGCCTAGATACGTATACGTGACTTCAACATGAATTTATCTTTGAATTTAAATATATAACATATTTTCAGTCGTCATGCTTCAATACATGATACTATTGAGGTCAACTGTATAAGTACCATATTAAAATAGGAATACGAACTCTCCCGATATAATAAAGCGATGCGTTATCCTTCCCATTTATGTCTACGGCATTGGGACGATCACAAACAGGTTGCTTATGACTAACAACTAAATATATTAGTAATACAACAAATAAATATTTTTATTAATTATTTTAGCATCCTGTTTCACTCTAAAAAATGTCAAGTCTATACATGTATGACATGACTACGTGAATATATATATATATTTTTCGTTCAGAGGGGTGAGGTGATACTTCTAACTGTCATATCCTGCCTATTACGTCATACTAAGCATGTGATTTTTTCACCCTTCATAAATTACGTCACATTTCATCCGGTTAGGGGACAGGATGCATATGCCGTAATAGGCCTATGAATAAGTAGAACACACACCCCTCCAAATAAATGCCCTATGAAATTAAGGATCAATATGTGTGGTTATTTTTTGTGTTGAAAAAATGCTCTTTTATAGGTCAACATATTCTTCCCTATAATAAATTTCTCAACTACATAAAAGTATATAAACCATTAAAATCATTCCATAATTCCTTATTGAATTTGTTTTTTAGCTTAACAATGGATAACAATCAACAACCTACAACACCTGTATTGCGTGCATCATGTCGACTATCACAGACAAAATCATCGCAATCATTGTATGATATTCTACCCATGCCTTTACGCTCTTCATCTTGTCGGTCGGAAAAACAATATTTGAAGTCCGATATTCGTCGTCACTTTCCAATTCGTACAAGTGGCTCAAAAACCTCATATCAAGAAAATAAAACTCCGAAGTGTTTTGATGACACTCTTGATTCATTAACAAATGCTTCAGTAATTGTTAATTCCTCCTTATCTTCCCTTGATTCCGCATCTCCAATTGGTGATATCCCGCGTAAACGGCATCTTGGCACTTGGCAAATCTTAACAGAATCAAAACAATCCCGACTGAGTGAAGGTCAGCAGTGTGTGAAGTTAAGAAATGACAGTGATACAATTTGTCTTGTAATGGGTTCTGAAGTAAAAACTCATCCAAGATACTGGATGAGAAAAAGTGCAGCAGAAATTCCTGTAACACCTGAACAAACTTCTCCTAAAATTACTCCAAAGAAACATCTAGCTCCTATTTGTCCAGTCCCAATGCCAAGTGGATTTCCACTTCAGTTACCGATTAGATATTCATCTGTTTCATTACCATGGGAATCTGGTAACTACTCCAGACCTAGTTTGTCACGCACTGTTGAAACACAGACTTCTCCTATTGATTCAGACAGTAAGTTATTACAACTTTTAAATGTTTATATTTGTACAAGTAATACATATTTTTTGGTATGTTGACTGTATTAATGAGTTTCTAGTTATCTTGTGTCACACATAATATCTCGAACATTCCTTTATTTGTTATTTCAGAAGTTCCTCAAACTGAGAAACCCAAAGGAAGGAGACATACAGGGTGAGTTTTATGTTAATTTACATATAAATATATCATTATGGTCAGATATTTATGCAGCCACATCAGTGTTATGCCACTATAGCTGTTTTTATAATCACTACTGCATCAGTAAACAGGAAAGTATCTGGGTATTGTATCAGATGAAAGCATAAACAGTATTGCGTGGATTATCGAATGTCCATAATGTGCTTATTTTTAGTAAACTGGTGGCCAGATCGTTTAAAGGATTAAATTTAGGTCAACTAACATAGTAACAAGTAGATTATTAATTGAATGTAAACAAAGGATTAAAAATGTTTACTATTCAGGTCACCGATTAAGTATCTTATCTCTAAAATATGAACTGATTACAGACAGTCAAATATTATAAACTAACTCGTTTTCTCTCTTTTGATCACTTACAGAATCGGACTTCGAAGCTCAGGTACAGCTCAAGTACTTCAAAATATTCGACGAAAGTTTGGTCATCTCAGAAGAGCTATAAGTGCAGATAGACTGAATAAAAATTCTTCCACGTCATTTGAAAATTGCAATCAGGATCGTATATCTTCTTCACCAAATCCAAATAATAGTAAACAGTCTACTACAAATAATGCGAATTCCGACGTCCACTTTAACCAAGATCCTTCTTACAAGCTCACATGTCATGTGACGCGTAAAAATCCTGATGGTTCAGTGCAAATTTCACTAAGACGTTCATCAACTAATGGTCAATTTGGCTTTTTCATTGCTCGTGATTCAAAAGGTGAGATTTCTTTCGATTAAATCAGGAAGTTTTGCAACAGGTTAATGCGGGATTGCATATTACTTTGAATAGCACAAAAACCAGGAGACAACTGAACTAAATTAATAGTCATCTGTCTTAATCTTCAAATGGGTAGTGAATGCTCGTGTACTGCTGACTCGCATTAGGTTACATTTCTCTAGCACATAGTTCAACACTGATGTCACCTTCGACATTCTTTTTTGCAAAGTTTATCCTTAGCATGAATTCAATTGGCTTTACTCACGTCTGTTTTACTAACCATCTAAAAAACGACAAATATTCTAAAGTCCTTTTTTTATTACATTTCAGGTATTTATGTCAGTCGGCTAGGAAGTGTCCGATGTGCCGCAAAACTCTGGGATGTATTTCATGTTGGTGACAGAATATTAGAAGTTCAAGGTATACCTTGCGACAATCTTGAAGTGGAAGAAGTTAAAAATCTTATACGAGGATGTGAACTTGTCGAGTTCCGAGTGAAATCATCTCATCATTCAGACTATAAAAAGAATCCATTCCGATTGAGTCTTTCCTGATTTATTTAATGCTTGTATTGTAACCAAAATTTCCTTATTGCCTTTTACACTACTGGCGCTTAACAACAGTAGTATCAGATGTTTTACATCCAGCAACCTAATTGTACATAGACTTTACATAAGATTTATATATTATGATTTTCTTTAAATTAGATTGTACAGAGGTTAAATTTTATTATTATTATTACTCTCATCCATATTATTCCTATTTTTCTGTAAAAATCAGAGTTTTACAATCTTACTTTTATTTACCTTGAAGATAATTTAAATAAATTTTGATTAATATTTTAACTCCTATTTGTACTAATGCTGATTTTATATAAAAGTGTATTTATTTTAAATTACCAACGTCTTTGAATTCATTACACTGATGTGTCCTGTGCAAGGTTTTATGTATATAATAATGTTTATCCAAAAAGTTAGGCAGTTTAGGAAATGCGAAACTAATAAAACTCATATCGAAGCCGGATGACTCCAGGAACACGTTTACTGTCAAGCTGTACAGAAATGAATCTTTCACCTTTCTAATTGCCGTGACCAACTGAGAGTTTCTCTAAGAGTTATCAGTAATTTTCAAAGATGGCATACTGTAACAAATGCATGTACATGAAATCTTCAGGAAAAGATCCCTAAAACTAATCACTTAGACTGTGAAATCTTGTACCGGTGAGGATTTTCAAGCCCAGTGCTCCCTAGTATGAGTCTTTAGAACTATCACTTTGACGTATATCTGACAGTAACCTGATCATTCGCTTGATTCATACCTGTGGATTATTTTTTGATTTAGACACTGGTCTCCAAATGTCTGATATACTCTAATGTCATCTGAAGCTAAGTGTTTGAATACATTAACTTAGGTTATATTGATTAAGATTCACTCGAATAGAATAAAAATCTAACTACTTTGCAAGTAACGCTGAATTATCTATAAATACCATAACAATTATGTCATAAGAGTAATCGCGTCGGTGGCATATCGCTCACCGACCATGCACATGGTCAGGGGTTGGATCCCCGGCCGACGCAATCCTTTACCTCACTAAGTCAGAAATTATGCTGGTGAAGAGGAAAGGTTGGGCATGAGGCCAGCAACCCCATCCTGTAAAATAAACACTGCTACAGAAACTTCAAGCCACTAGCTTGAAGCCCTATGTTCTATTGGGGAACGTGAAGGAAAAAGTAATAATAAGGGTAATCACTTTATTTCAAACGAAATAGTTATACAGATTGGAATTTTTACCACTGTGCATAATGTAATGCTAGGGATACAGACTTTAAAGAAAGCTTGTAAGCTGTTTTCCGACGCCTGAACAAGATATGATATGCTTGAATTTTTATATTTAGCTGTACGTGCATAAATTCTTATCCAAACTACTACAAGGAAAACGTCGAGTGTAAAAGGGGATATTCAGTATTCGACACGATAACTTAGGCCAGTTGCTTGCAAGAAATTAAAGTGCCTACCAACTATAATGTCAGTTAGTTGTATACGCCATTAACCTGCTTACAGTCTTTTGAGTCCGATGTAATATAACGTTCGACTTACTGAGAAGTCGAAGGGATAATAAAAACGAATGGGGGAAATGCATGAATTAATCAATTTTGAGAGAGAAAAGGTTGAGTTGCAACAGAACGGCTCAACTTCCGTATGTAATAAATCAAATTAAAAATTTTCCTTTGAATTCAATAAGGTATGAAATAATCAACAACGATTCGAGGAGAAACTGATACCATGACATGCAGTGTTCGATAAACTAAGATCTCTGATCTCCAGACTAATGACAGAAGCCAATTTAATTATTCCCCAACAGTTATCTAACCAAGTTAAAAATCTCAATCTCCGTTTGAATATTGGTCCAATTTATTTCAAAGTGTTTATCGAAATTGACCAATTTGTTTGAAAGCTTATCTAACTTTCATTTCCAATTTATGATAAACTCACTTTTAGTTGAGTGTAATGAAAAATCGAAATTACATTGTTAATTTGACATAATTACTTGATAAAGAATGTCTCCAACTATTTACCCAAGGTTATTAGAAATGTATACATTAAGTAACTCGTTGAAATACAGTCATACACACAAACAAACATATTCAAGATGACAAACAAAGTGGTGGACCAACATTTTTCCCTTATTTTACCACAGAGTGACACGTGACAGTCTTTGACTTGATTTGATTTTTTAAAACATGTTATATTTTAGCTGACCTTTCTTATAGACAAGATTGACATGTTCCCTAGACTGCCATTATCCTAAATGCATACTGCTGGTCTTGGTGTTAACTTATTTTTTTCTTGATGAGATAACTTCGCATTGATTCATTGGATCTGAGCAACAAGAAGAAATAAATTAAGGAAACCCTGATTTTATTATATGATGTTCACTTGTAATTTAGGTCAAGAAAATTCTTGTAATTTTTTCCTCGCGTCGAATTAATCCCAATTTTTTCTTCACATAGATAAACCTCAAGGTGGGAGATTTTTTTCGCCTTTCAGATAAGATAACAGTAATTAGATGTTATGTGGGCGCGACAAGCGCTTGTTTCACCCACATGAATTCAATGCAAAGCTACCAGACTTGTCTAACATGTTATCACGTTGTTATCTTACAGTATAATCAGGTAGATGATAGTCCCTATCACATTACAATAGAATTGAATACATGAGTTAATTCGTTTCCGAAAAAAAGAAAAACTAACGTGTGACTATCAAATGAACCATATTTTAAAGAACCGTCGTTAAACTGTGATTTATTCTTGGAAATAACCACAAAAGAATAAGATGCCTAAGTTTCTCAGTGATTTGACTGACAACTCAGTCTCAGAAAAACAGAACTTTCAAATGGGAATCGATGTGCATGTCGTGGTATTTTGTCCTAAAGCTATAAATCGGAATCTATGTTAGCAACAGAAGTATAAATATTATATAACTTAGATATTATGCCATTTCTCTCAGAGTAGACTTGACTCTAATCAATCAGATGCAAAACCGAAAGAGATTAATTTTGTGAGAAATCTGTTAACATCATGTGTGATTTATTCAATTATTTCAGTCATATAAAATAATCTCAGTTACTTAATAAATTTTGCTATAGTTGAGACACTGAGTCTTCAGCTTTCAGGTGAATAGATTGTGGAGTGAATTTGGAAAAGTATAGCAGTGTTAGGTGTGAACAATACTTGGAATCTATTACGACCTTAACATGTACTTGAGCTATAGCGTTTGTGTTGCTATGCTCTAAGATGACTTCTAACATTCATGTTCATACACCTGAGGTTTCACTAGAAAAAAATTATCACCAATTAGCTATTCACACCTTTCACTTTTTTATGGAAATTATTACAATTTCTGTTTCTTATAATAATTATTCTTTCTGGAGTAATTATAAATACCTTAGTAACTGCCAGTGATCAAAATTGATGTATTATTTAGTTTAACAAGATGGTGTACACTACTGATTGATATCAGTAGCTGGAAAGTACTCAATTCAGGCTTTAGAGCTTCTTAGCCAGGTAAAATCGATCAAAACTCCAGATGCATGATTGACTCGTTTAGGGCTTGAATACTTCTGAACCACTTGTTATATACAAGATTTTATAGTGAAGAAAAGGCCTAAATGCAACTTGCGTTTGTACAGGGGCAAGCATCAGTTAAATCAAACTTGATTTTAAATATATCCTGTATTCTAAGTTTAATAGAAATTCGACTACTACATGTTTGTCCAGATGAGTAAGTTTAGCGGCCTGCTAAAATCTCTGGGCTATCAGAATTTTCATCCATCTATCAAAAATGCTTAAAATCTTCTTCATTTCTTATTGATCTAATCATGCAATTATGGCAAATGATCACTACATGAACTTGCACTCATATTTAATCAGCTTTCAGGAAGTCTCTGTACGATTCTTAAAGGAAGTGAAGAAAATATGTGCAGAATTGGTTCTCACTTCCTACACAACAACACTAAGTTGCATAATATACTTCAGATTATTGCTTTACATGTCAATCCTGTATGATGAGGAAATACTTTGAAATTGAATACGCTGAGAACTTCTGTACTGTGTGTTGACATATTGTCTGAAATAAAGCTTTATTTTACTCATAATAATAACAATTACTAGTATTTTTTTCAAGAGTAGGTTTCTAAAGATTAGATTTGTTTTTACGAGTTTGACCACGTACTGATATCAGTTCGAGAACAATTAAAAACCAACAGGGAGTACTGGACAGCTGTTTCATCCTAGTTTTGGCAATCAATGGCAGTACGCACCCACCAAAGAGGTTCAAATCCACTATGAATTGTCAAAAGCACTGAAATAAAACTTTGCGATTCATCGTGTTCAGTAAAATTTGCCAGTGGACACTTTGTTCAGCAAACTTAAATATTTTCTGAGAACTAGAGTAGAGCATTAGTTCATCACTGGACATTCAGCACTGAAATGAAGTAAATACATTTGAAGTTTTGATTTGTAGAGAACCGACTGATTTCAAGACTGATTGAGAACTAAATTAAGTGACAGAATCAATGAAGACCAGAGAGCAGTAGATAGATGTTTCACTCAAGTATAGGACTCTTCGTCGGTACACACCCACGGCCTAACCACGGGTCGAACCCAAGACATTGAGGTTACGAGGCGAGTTCTAACTTTTGCTGATTTGTGATATATACCGCGACCACCGACACATGTCATCGGTGAGCATTCGTCGTTCCACTGAACTTGGTGGATTTGGCTAATCACGATTTCCCACAAAAACTTCTGTCAACTTCATCCTGTAGTTAGTCACCTGTAAGAACTAATCCTTACAAACCAATTATAGAAAATTAACTTGATGCTCACTAGTGACTGGCTACAGGACGGAGTTTCCTGGAGTTCTAGTAAAAAGTCGTGACCAGTGACGTCTATCCAGTCAAGTATAAGGGTGGATGTCCCACCGATGACACTGGTTGGTGGTCGCACTACAATCGCGAATTGGTAGAAGTTAGAATTCATTGACTGACCACTAAGTTGGGTCCTGGTGGCTGAATGGTATACGAGCTTGCCTTGTAACCAGAAGGTCCTGGATTTAAAACCCTGGCAGTGGGTGTGTCCTACCGATGATTCCAAAACAAGGATGAAAGAGATGTCCAGTACTCCCTGATTTCCAATGTTTCTCTAACTGCTATCAATCATTGGGCAAATTACTATTATTATTACAAAATCTCCTTATATTTCATTTGCACTTTACTTATACTAAATGTGGTGAGATAATATGATGTAATAAATCTTTCTAACCTAGTGACTAACATTTATTTCACAGAAAAACATTTGGGTTTTTTTATTCTTACCGTTAATTTTCATGATCGCT